ACGATTAGAAAAATAATAACACTAACAGACTCTCTTTTAAAAGCGATACTGTCCCAGCTGTAAACCTTTTAAAATCAGCAGAAACCACCAACTGGGATTTTTTGTCAGTATTTATTAAGGAATTTTCTAAAATAGAGCTGACAGGTGTTTACAAAAATACTGATCTGTTAAGACAAATTGATACAAGTCACTGTGCAAAAGCTGGAGAGTTTATGTTCTACAGTTGAGGAGATATTTGACTATGAGTTTCGCCACGGTTTTTGACTGCACTATAGGAGGAAGGATAGTTCAGCCCTCCCTGTCAGGATCAATGTGGGATGAGTGGAATAGTAATTTAGAACATCACGACAGACACAAGGAGATACTAGATCAAATAAATTTACCCCTAACGAGAATCAAACTGACATCGTTTGCCTACGTCGGGGAAGAGTCTAACATCACACTAAAGACACCATTCAAATATAGTTGAAAAAGTACTGAAAATAATGAACAAGCAAACAAACGACCTACAGAACTACAAAAGTGAGATGTTCGTTCAAGATAAACAGTCCATTCGCTTTTGTCACTTTTCAGAATTATAGTAGAGAATTAAGTTCCAAAATCGAAACGAAATTAAGAATGAAAGTGCTATTTTTAAAACCGCCTACTTTTGTGGATTAATCCAAACAATAAAATAAAAATCCGTCCGTAAACTTACAGTGACTTCTGAAGAGTTGCGGTTTTGTCAATCAGAAGTCCATTCTCAGAGCTGACGGACAGAATGACCACCGTGGAAATTGCTCCCTGTCACAACCTTCCACTCTTGTATACTCACTGACAAAGCTTCGGGCAAAACAAGGCCCAAACTTGTCCAAAGACAGGCCGTAAACAAAAGGCTAACATCTAGCTAATCCTATTAACTATAGCTCTGCACACAAAATCCCTGCCTCCGCGAGGATAAAAAAGGCACGGAAGGTGTTTGATAAACAGATCTATTTCACAGCTTTGTGATCATTGACTGCATTAATCTGGCCACATCAGGCGCAACCGATTAACGAAAACGGAGTCGACAATGGTCCGATTTTGCCAAATTTGTAAGACGACAAAGGATTGGGTATTCTGATCACGATTTTTATGTGTGTCCATGCCAGTTTGACAATACAATATCCCATTCGATCTCCGTGGCGTCGGTAGCCTGATGGTTCGGCTGCCGTACCAGTGAGATTGCGGCTTCGGCAATTCGAAGTTTAACTCTCAGAGTTGAAAAGTCGGAAAGTTTATTTCTACTAATGGATAGGAATGACGTCAGAATAACGTGTGGAACGTTTTCGACTACTGAAAATACGTTAAGATTGTAAGAGTAAGGATTTATGGGCTGGTGGGGGGGACCTGGGCTCTATTTTGGCCATTACAAGGCCTAGAGCGCTCATACTTGCTGTGGGACATCCTGTGTTATTGGGGATTTGAAATCAATAGTTAAAAACGTATATTGTGAATCGGTTGCTATGGAAACGGCGGCCATATTGGATTTTGTATACCTTTTTCAATCCATTTAATCCCTTATTTATTAACTGATTCACTTCTAACTTGGCATGCCAACCGTAAATATGTAGCTCTTAAATTTGACATGTTGAATTTTTTATATACGCTTTAATTTTTATTTTATTACACTTAAAATTAGGTTGTTGCAAAAAAAAGTGAAAAAAAAGACAATTCAAGTTTTCTAAG